TTTATGCGGTACATGACACTCATGAATCTATCAAAATGAACTTGTTTCGCTTAATGCTCCTTATAATCTGATGTGGTTTATGTATGAAAACAGACCCATTCATTGATATTACACCTTATAATCCGGTGCGCCTTACAGTCCGAAAAATACGGTAAGTATAGAAATAAAGCAAAATGTTGAGTATTTGCAAAAGAAATGACAGGAAGACAGCTAAAATTATTTTTTTGTTGTTTGTATAACGACTAATAAAATTCAGTTTTATGTTAGTTTTATTCAAAACTTGAAAGAGCCACTGCGGAGGGACCAAAGAGCCACATGTGGCTCCAGAGCCGCAGGTTGCAGACCCCTGCTCTAAACGCTCAGGGTCTGAATTACATGTTCCCCACTAACGACGTTTAACCATTTTTTTTCTGACGATTTTTCATGAAATCCCTCTGACTGTAAAGCGTCAGTAAAGCAAAACCCTGATGAGCTGCAGCTCTGCAGGTACGGGGCGTTTACCTTCAGGACAAATTGAGGTCACTGATTGGTCAGTTGATGACATGCCGACTAGAATGATTGACAGAATGTGTCGAGGATCTGACTTGTGCAAAAAAAAAAAAAAAAAAAACGAGAGCTGCTAGAGCATCAGATCACCTTTTCTTCAGGCGAATTCAGATAAGGTGGCCTTAAAGGCCAGCCAGGGGAGCCAAATTCAAATAAACACACAGTTGTTTTGGGGACAGGCAGCACTTAAGGACATCTACCTTGAGCCTGTGTTGGTCCAAACAGTTCTGAAATGTTCAAATTCCATGGCCACTCCGATGGAACGCGCCTGAGTAAAATCCTCAAGATCTGATCCATTCTGCCCAAAGCATTGGAGTCTGGGTACTCGAGGCACGAACCAAGCCATCATAAAGGCAAGCATCGTGATCGGGTCCCAATTTGCTGCCGATGACTTCCTTGATTGTTGATAAAACCAGTAACCAGCCAAATCCAAAAAGCAGGAACCAGTTATCGTGAATCCAGTTAAATTTACGTCCTTAAAATCCACAGATGACAGCAGAGATAGACACATCATCAAGTCTTCCAGTCGATGAGATATCCAGCTGCGTGCGTGCAACAGGGCAAATCGGCTCGCCTAAAGCCAGTCTTCTCTTTGAAGAAAATGTTGTGAATTGAGTTGAGAGACCAACTGATCAAATCAAGTCCATAGTTATGGTTCAGAAGAAATGTAGAGAGGCTCAGTTTTAGCTTCTCTTCATTGGTTCCCTGTCAAATCCAGAACTGGATTCAAAATCTTACTTCTAACCTAAAAAGCTCTCAACAACCTAGCTCCATCTTATATTACTGATCTTATTGTTCCATATTTTCCTAACGGAGCACTTCGCGCTCAGACTGCAGGCCATCTCGTGGTCCCTAGAGTTTCCAAAAGCAGAATGGGAGGAAGATCTTTCAGTTCTCAGGCTCCTCTCTTGTGGATCCAACTTCCAGTTTCTGTCCGTGAGGCCGACACATTGTCCACTTTTAAGACTTTCCTTTCTGATAAATCCTATAGTTAGCCGGCTTGCTATGCTGCCTTAAGATTAGACTACTAGAGGACAAATTGACCTAATTTCCTTAAATGAATTGTTAAAATTGAATAGTTTTCATTTGATATTATTTCTCTTAACATGTGATTCTCGACCTGCCATTGTGTATCTGTTCCTAACAAACCCAGCCGGTCGAAGCAGATGGCCACTTGTCCTGAGTCTGGTTCTGCTAAAGGTTTCTTCCTCATGAGGAGTTTTTTCTTTCCACTGTCGCCTTCATGCTTGCTCAAAATGAGAGTTCTGTGATGGCGTTAAATTCAAATCAGTCTGCTCCTCAGATAAATAATGTTAAATTATTATTTTTATATATGAATGTTTCTGTTCAGTGTCCTGAGACGACTTCTGTTGTGACTTGGTGAAACTGAATTGAGTTGAATTTGAAAGTAATAGAACAGTGACTAAAATCTAAAATTAGGAAAACAATACATAGAGCTCAAAGTCAGCAAATTCATGTTTAAAAGCTAAAACCAGCAGAACAGTAGTTTTGAGCTAAACCCAGAAACACAGCAGATTAAAGGTAAAAAGGTCACAACTGCAGCTAAAAGATCCAGTTTGTGAAACATGTAATAAACTGAAAGAAGCATAACAAGCTGAAATTAAAGCTGCAAGCAGCGTTGAAGGCCCTCGCAGCTAAGCGCCGCTGCGGCCTCATGGCGACTGCGGGAACTCGAGCTACTCTTCCCGGTCGCCATGGAGAACGCTCACGCTACTGTCACGCGCCCATTTTCCGGAGTGCGCATTCACAGAATCTTTGACATCAGCTGCAACAGCATATATAACAACTGTAATAATTTAGGGGGCGCACTTGAGTCAAATGATAAACAACAACACCACTGTGTCCATAAGTCCTCACTAATCAAGCACCAAAAATCTGGTACAGATCAGACGATATATCACTGAGATATAACAGTTTGATTTATGTAGGGGGCGCACTTGAGTCAAATATTAAACAACAACACCACTGTGTCCATAAGTCCTCACTAGTCAAGCACCAAAAATCTGGTGCAGATCGGACGAAATATCACTGAGATATAACAGTTTGAATAATCTAGGGGGCGCACTTGA